GATTCACCTGTAAAAGAAATACAGAAGGACATAGATTAATAAGTGTTGTAAAAGCATGGTTTATGGGTAGTTCATGTTAACTAATAAAGACACTGATACTATGATACTATAAACTAAAAGATAATGAAGACCATGGTTACTAATGAGAGAGACTGGTTCAGAGACAATAACAAATGGAAGGAATATAGGAGTGAGAATAGAACTGTGAAGTAGAATACATGAACAGAGGTGGCAAAAATATAAATATAATAGAAATAGAAAGCAAAGAACAGTGTGTATAATAGAGACAAAGTAAGACACATTACCTTGAAAGATCAGTGCGGGTGAATCCGGTAATCCATTTCTTTCCATGTCGGCTGCAGTTGCTGCTACCTAAAAAATAAATACAAATATTTTGCATTACCAGTTAAACTTAAGACATTAAAAATCAAAATGATATTACTTACATCAGCTTCAATTAGAAGGGATTCTGTTCTCTCTTTAAAATGGGCCATTAAGAGTTGCAGGATGCACAGGACCAGAGAATTTCCCTCTTGATACTTTGACAGAACAGCATGCACCTCACTGTTTGTTGGCCTTTCTTGAAAAAATCTTAGAATCCTCTTCCCTTTCCCTTCAATGCTCTCCATGACTCTTTGGAGCAGTGTGATGCCAGTAAGCAAATGAAAATGTAAAAAAATACCCTTAAGACAAAACAGGTAAGGCCATGAGTTCTTTAGTTCAGACAGTGGCGGAGGTGGAGTGGCGTTTATATCACGGCGTTGACGGTAATATGTGAGCTCCATCATCTTGTGAAGTTCTCCTCTAATGGCGCCAGACATTCCTTCAGTAGAATGAAGCAGTACCATTTGCTTGCGCTTCTCTTCTAGAGTGTCATCATTTTCTCCTGCAGGAAGCTCCTCTGGCTGCCAACTGACACAACCATATTGATCAGCCGGCCTTCTTGAGCTTTGACTTGTGGTTCTGCACGATGATCGTAGTCGTTCTTTTCTCCGACGAGCTAATGTGTTGTTTCTGTTTACATGTTCAACACGGGTTTTAACTTGGAAGAGCAAAGAGGCATAGCCACTACCTATTTTTGTTCCATCAGCCAGAACATCAGCAAAGCTGTCCGGGTACTGTTTAACAATGTTCTGCACTACAGTCTGACACTGTGCCTTTGATGGGTTGACTTCATGTTTTCGCATATTATCTACTAACATCCTTACTAGCTGCCTTCGATCAGCTGGTGATGGTCTTTTTTTATTTGCAATGGCCAATTTAATTCCAGAAGGCATGACTTCCCAAGGCACCTTAAATGTTTCAGCCCAGAAACAAGATGCTGAAGAGCAAGCAGAAGAACTAGACGGTGTATTGAACTCTGAACTCTCTGATCCTGGGCTTGATGTATCAGAAAGAACTTGATGTGATGAGCATTGGGACAGCTGGCTTCTGGCTTGTTCTAACACAAATAACCAATATATTAACAAAAAGTGAAGTTTGAACATGGAACATTTAACAATATTTTTTTTAACAAATAGTATTAAGTTTTCTATAAAATACCTTCATTTTTCCACGCATTTAGTAGTTTTCGACATTGGATAGGCCTGAGGTATTCCATGAGGTCGCCTTCTTTCACATAGTTTAGGTCAGCTTTTGTTTCAACACCAATAGCAGTAAGCCCATGGATCAATTTTTGAAGGGTTTCATCAGAGAGACCAAGTAACGAAGAGCAGATGGCGAGTTGTATCTCCTCTAAACTGGACATACCTTAAAAAGATGGAAAACTGGTGTAACAATCACAGACAAGCCACATGTTCAGTAACAAAGTAGCAGTAAAGCATGTGCACAGCAATTTCCAATGTACTTTCTAATGAACAACTAAAGTACTAATATGACTACATGCACCCTTATAAGTGATATTAACAAAGCTAAAACTTAAAAAAAATTACAGCAACTCCATCGAACAAACACGTGCTAATATTAGTTAATGGCTTGGCAGTCGAGTGAACCACTAATGTTACTGAGTTACATAAAACCTACACAATTTAAATGTTATTAATGTAATTGCAATGTTTTAAAGTTTACGTGACTACTACCAACAATCCAAACTTATTTTATACTGAACAGCTATCGAAAATGTAATAGTAACGTAATATGGCAGACAGGTCACACTTTCAAGATGGAAAAAAAAAAGTTAGTTACCCAGCTAACGTTAAAGTTAATCGTAACTTTGGACTCAAAAAGCAAATTCCGTAGCATAGAATTGAACAGATATTTATCCCTTTTGAAACGTCACAAAATAAAAATAACAGTTACACAATGAAAGATCTTAATGACTGGTAAAATAATTATTGGATGTACCAGGATTTCACGTTTTAACTGAGGCATGAATTAGTAGATACACTCACCTCACCTCGCGTCGCCTCACTCTCATTCTTTTGATGTCCTCTTCTCTAGTAACCCGCAGTGTTGCCAACTTCTATATCGTAGCGTGCAGGAGTTGAGCGCGAAAATTGAAGAGTGCCAAATGTCGCGAGAAGTCCCAAGATGTCCGCTGCTGAAGACGAAATGACATCA